TATATATACTTGTGTTATAATTTTACATTATGATAAAATAAATTAAAATTATTATTTTTTATTTTTAAATATAAAAATGTGATATGATTATAAAGTCTAATAATCTTTACCGTTAGTTTTCTTCTTCTTTGTATTACATCCATAAAAGGGTAAAATATATTTAATTTTTATCCTTATAATATTTTTCAAAGTTTCATTTTAGTATCTATAAAATATTTTCTTGTTTTGGTCATTTTAATTTGGAGATATACTATTTTTGTGTTCAAAACTATTTATTTAACATTTTAAATAATAATAATAATAATGAAGAAGTAAATTAAATAAAAAATATAGTATATCTTTTTAAGATTTGTAATAAAATATATCTTTTTAATTAAAGATTTTTAATACATCATTCAAACTCTAAATATTTTGGTAATATTTAATTTGTCTCCTAAACTACAAAAAATTAATTAAATCTTTCAACTTTTTATATTTTTGTAATTTAATTAGTCCATAATATTAAAGTTTTTGTTTACAAATCGTGAAATATGAAATAATATTTTTTATATGGTACATAAATAGCCATATCAAATCATTATTCTATGTATTATCATTCATATATAACTTGTTTTAATTTTTTTGTAAAAATTATGATAATGTCTTTAATTATAAAAAATTTGGAATAGTAGGAATTTTTTTAACAAGTAGAGATTAAAACCTATATACATGAATGATGACATGAAATACTAATATAATATGGTTGTCCAAATACAAAAATATAATGAATATTTTGCCAAATTTGATAGATATATAATAAACAAATTTCTAGCTTCAGAGGCTACTTTGTACCTCTTCCAAATTTGTTGTGTTTTGTTGCAAGAAGAACTGACTACTTTGTACCTCTTCTCCAAAATGCATAAAGAACTGAGTAAAAGATATTTTCGTATATCTTTTGGAGAGATAATAGCCAATTATAGTCATATATTAGATATAGTTAAAGCTTAATAATTAATTTCATATGATATTGATATTGGTGATTTACTTGGTAATAAACAACTAGAGGTGCATAAATTTGTTAACTTTTGTTCTTATTGTAGGGCCAGCGACTTGTGAAGAACAAATGTGCATAGGCTCATGCATGGAGGATTGCTTTCGTGATTGCAATATTCTTGGTTATAAGGAGGGTGGTTGTCACAAGACTCGGGGTTCTGAATATCCCTTGTGTTGTTGTACTTAACGAGGAATGACTACATTCTATCACTAGCTTCTTAAAGTGTGGCTGAATAAAATATATATATCTTCCGAATTTTCGTTAAAGAGTTTATATATTAATTTATGCCTTTGATTTAATTACTTTTTTTATGAGACAAAATTATCATTTTATTCCATAGAAAAATATGAAAGATGTATATCAGATGCTACCAGCATGTCTAATTTATATAGGACCTCATCTATTTCTCAACATTGAACCTCCCATTATTAATAAACTTTAGCAAAATATGTTAGCAGAGTATGTTCCAGTTCTACCATTTCAGAGTCGCAACCACATATTGTGCAGGGATCTATTTCTTAGCTGATATGTTTCCCCTATGCCATAAATCACCACAAATCCTTTTCTAGTAGGAAATCACGAAATTAGACCTAAAATTAACGTTTTTGTTAGAAATGTCATTATATAACTCTACACACCTTGTAATTGACCGAATCCAAATCAAGGTGAAAAATTGATAAGCTTTCAGTGAACAACATGCACAACTTCCTTGAAAAATTTTGGTGGATTTTTTTCAAGAACCTCAGATAACAAAGGTCTCAGAGGCAATACGCTTTCACATAAAATCTTATTTCCTCCAATTGTTTTTTTAGGAGTTTTTTTTTTCTTTTCCTTTTATGTTGTAACAACTCAAACCACTAGGTTTTGTAAAAGCCCAACATTTATTAACCCAATAACAAAATAAAACAAAAATAAATATGTAGCTAAAAGGAAAGGAAAATAGACTTCGATTTGTTGCAAGTATAGTCCATCTAAAAATATAAGGCTTATGTTATATACATCCCTCTACTTTAATAATACATCTTAATTATACTTTTTTTTTTGTCAGAAATACCCATAATATATATATTTTTTTATTTTCTAATAATTTGACTTTGCTTGTGAACCCTCTTGTCTTCAATGTTCAGCTATTTTCCGGATACTCACCTCTCTTTCACACTCACTTCCTTCCTGTCTCTTACGTTCAATTTTTCTTTTTCCATGCACCCTCTTCCTCAAATTTTTTAGGATTTCAAACTTTTAATTTTAAATATTAATTTTGCACGTAAATAATTAACTTGTGATATGTCACTAAAAAAAATTGTCATATAATAATAACATTCTATAATGATATAATATTTATTATGAAAAATTACTTTTACTTACATTATAGATATAATATATATTAATATTATTAAAAAGTGTAAACATAGGTTATAGTACCACACAATATAAATTATTAAATATCATTCAAAATTAACACTAAAATTGTGTATAGATATATGTCAAATAAATTTATATCTATATATTTTATACTTATAGTAACACTTTTTATGTATCACTATATGTAACATTTCTAGTAATGTATGCACCTCTTTTTATTTATTTATTTATTTATAAGTATGCATCCTTTTTTAAATTCATAAAATTCCTATCTAACTAATTTCTAGTTTTAAATAAATTTCTTTTAAAATCATCTTTTTCATTTATGTCTTTCTTCATCTTTTTCTTCTTTAGTGTTCCAGAAAATACTTTATAAAAATATATAATAAAAAAATACACTTTTAAAAAGTACTTCCTATAATTATGATAATATTCTTTCGAAAAAATTTTCCAAAACACTAAAATTGATGTCATGAAAACTTGATGCCTATGAAAGGTAGAGCGCACAACAATATTAAAATCATATGTTTTGGAATGAAAATTACGATTCCAAAATTTTTGTCCATTTTCAATTCCTGAAAAATGAAAGAAGGGTGTGCATGTGAAAGGAATGAGTGCTTGAAAAAAAAATTGATTAGAGGCAAAGAATAAGAATGAGGTGCGTGAAAGGAGGGGTGGATGCTTGGAAGAAAAAAAAATCAAGGGTGAAAGAAAGGAAGATCCTTAACGTTGATAAACTAGAGGAGAAAAAACATTTAGAATATTAAAAAAAAAAAAAGTATAATAGAGTTGTATTATTAATATAAAGATGTGTATATATATTATAAGTCAAATATAAATACACTTTTTATTTAGTTTAAGAAATGCACCAAAAGTAGACTAAATAAAATTACAGTCCTTCCTAATCCGCACAGTCTTGAATCTGCATGTGCAAGAAATTATTTTGGGCTGTACTTTTGCTTTCAACTTTGGAGCTTTCTAGATCAAATTTGCCACAATTTTTTTTTGGTAGCATACAAAAGAAAAGAAAAAAAAAAAAACTCAATCAGATGGGAATTCTCCCCTACTACTTGTAAAGCGAAATCTGGAGGAATCTTCCATCATACATTAATAACAAAATTCTTATCACCCCATCCTGCAGGAACATGCGAAGGGAGTTGATTTCCTAGGGGATACTCACAACAGTGAACATCCAATTCTATGCCACTATGTCCTTAATTTCGTTGATGATGTCACCATGTTTATGCATGTCATCCATCTCTTGTCTAGCTCCTAGGACTCCATTCACAAGCCCGATGCAATCCGATACACATATTATGTTGTTGAACCCTGGTCTCCAATAGAAAAGGAGACCTTTTGTGATTGCTAGAACTTCAACTCGAAGAGAATCACTATCTTGCGAACCGCCGAACCCTAGCTGCCAACCATATCTCTTAATACCTCGTCAAAACTCATGATTCTTAACTGGTCTAGCCAACTACGACCCACATTCAGTTTCAAGTGAGCATCACTAGGAGGAGACCACACTACTGTGTCAGGGATATTTTATGATAGGTATTTTGCACATTCTATGTCGGTTAGGGATGTGTCATATATCCTTACAATATAGAATGTTTGTATATTTTTTGACTGATCAACACTTGGTATAAAAAGTTTACATTTTATGTAGGGTAGTCAAGGCCTGTCATAATTGTTGGGAAAATAATTCAAATTTTTAATATCAAATATCTAAGATAATATTTAGATTTTAAAAGATATTGATTCTTTTAGGATATTATTTAGAATTAAAATATATTGTATTTATATTAGAGATTAGTTTCCTTTTTTAAAATAGTGATATAAGGTCAATAAATAGATACTCTTGAGATGAGAATAACTATTCGACCTGTAGAGGAGGTCACCGCCTTAAAGAGAGAGGAGATCATATGAAGAAGGGTTTTCAAGTTTCGCTAGAAAACTTGTGAATGATGATTTTTAAGTTTCCCCAGAAAATTTGTGAAGAAGGAGTTTCCAACGTTAACCCATAAAACTTGTAAGGAAGCGGTTTTCAAGTTTAACCCACAAAACTTGAAGAGAGGATTTTCAAGATATATGTAAAACATTTTAAAATAAATAATGAACATCTTTGTGGACGTAAGCATGAGGGGCTGAACCACATTAAATAAATTTGTGTGATCTTTTCCTATTTCTTTTATGGTATTATTTTAATATGTTTCTCATCATCATTATTGTGTGTAAAAGAAAAGAAGTTTTTTTTGTTCTCTAGCTTGGTATTAGAGTTCATGGTTCGTGGAGCTTGGTGACCTACGCCTGATTTATGAAACCTAGTATTATACGTATATATATTTTTATATATCAAGAATAAAAATATATTATTAATAATATTATACGTGATAATAATGAAAGATTTACAGATAATATTTACTAAAACATGCATAATTATAAATTTTTTTTATATCTCACATATGATTCTAATATTTACATTACTCATCATTCTTAAAATATTTACAATAAATATATTTACGTACAAAGAATATGTTAAGAGTAGCAATGATATAAATAAAAATGACAATCATTATAAAATAATTAAACAATATAAAATATGCGCACCTTAATAATTAATATAGATAAAAATAATTATAGGTTAAGCAAATAAATGAGGTTAGGGACACCTCACTAGATAAATACACATAGAAAATAACATAAATAAATAAACATAATAGTAGATAATATTTTAAAGAGACAAAGTTCTCCTTCCCCTTATCTTAAAGTAAGTAAATTTGTTACGTTTTCACTATTTCTCTCTTTACGTTTCGTTTGCACTCTTTCTCTCTGTTCAATTTGTCCTATTTTTCTGTGTGTGTAAATGTGAAGGTGAATGTGCTATTTATAGGCAGATGGCACCTGATGATACTACACATTACGTAATATGTGTATGTAATCTACACTTAGATTTTTTTACCGCACCATACACGTTGATTTCTTTCACTCCATACACGTAATCCATTGGCTCTTTATCTACCGGCATTCCCTTATCACTATGAGTAATTATCTCACATTATCCTATTCCTACTACGTAACTTTGTACTTTGAAATCACGTAATCAAAAGCCTGCATTTTGCATCACATATTCTTATCCAATTAGTATATATGGTGTACGTGTAATTGAGTTGCAGTATAAGGAGCTTTAAAAAAAATTATTTAATTACTTATTAAAATATATATGTAATTATAGACATTATGATAAATAGTTTGTTATGTAATTATAATATATAAATATCTATAATATCATTGGATATTATATATATATATATATATATATATATATATATTTTAAATA